TAATCCTATGGCATGGTTTGTATGTGTTACTTAAACTTGAAGTAAGCATGAAAATGGCCCCCAAATTGAGCTCAAATCTCAAATCCAAAATTGGCATTGTGCTTGAAATGTATTTGGCACTCAAAAAATGCATAAGGTTGGTACAAAATGATCCCAAATGAATTTAATTTGATTTTCCCCTTTTAAGGCCTTTTTCATGGAAATTTCTTTAGCAATTCTTCAATCCAAGCCAAACCCATGATGCCTTGATGTTTGGATGAGAAAATGACCCTATTTGGAGCAAGTTTGAAGTTGGAAATATTTCCATTTGAAGTGTCCAAAGTGGTGAAATGGACCTATAATGAAAATGACCTGTAATCCCACTTTCCCAAAATACCCCTGCCTTGCAAGCCTCATAAATTGAGTTCTACAAATCAGATGAAGGACTTCTAGTACTCTTTGGAAAGCTAAGATCATGAGCAAAAACTTTAATGTTTTGGTCAAGGTGAGGAGAAACATACTTCTAGGTTACAAGTGGCTTGGAAGTTGGTTGACTTTTGTTGACCAAAATCACATTCATCTGAGGACCTGTAACTTGCCAGCATCATAACTTGAGTTCTAGAAATCAGATGAATGACTTCTAGTACTCAAAAAAAAGCTAGAAACATGCTATACAAGTTTCATGTTGGGGGTCAAGATGAGATGAGACTTGTATCTTGAGATAGGTGGTCTTGAAGTTAGGCACTAAATAGGGGATTTTACACTGAGAACCCTAATTTAGTAACTTCTCACACTCTTGATTCTTCTTGATTTGATCTTGAAATGATATATTAGGCATCTCAACACAACATTCCATGACCACAAAGACTTGGAATTAAGTCTTAATCTCCTTCAATTTCACAATTGACTGAGGGTTGACCAGATGAAAACCCTAAATGCAACACCTTCAACTGTAGCTCTTCACACTTGGTGTAAACACTTGAATGAACTTCACAATGACCTACAAAGCCTCCAATGAGCTTAAATGATCATCTCCCTCCATAAACATGGGCTTGTGATCCTCAGAAGAACTTCAAATGGCCTCTTAGACAGGAGGTGAACCACATACACTTATCTGTCTATCCAAAGGGCTTTGACTTGTCTCTGATTATGATAACCCTCCTGTTAACTTGAATACAACCTCTTGATTAGGCTTAGAACCCTTGGCAAATTCCTCTTGTTATACACACATCTCTTGATCCCCTGTAAAATGCAAAATGATATGCAATGCAATATGCTAGAACAATGAAATGAAACATAAACCAAGTAAAGAAAAGGTTGGGCAAATTTTGGGGTACAACAGGGAGGACCCCTTAAAGAATTTCCTATTATGAAGGCAGGGAGGCAGCTCGAACTTGCTTTTAACGGAATCCTAACTGAGGTCCACAGTTTCATTCGCGCGGGCATGCTTGGGCCTCAAGCTCACGGGTAGAGGAAACGTCTGAGTGGACAGATGAGTTGAGGATGAAGTCGCCGACCCTGTCTGAGGGGGAGCCGTTCGCTGACCAAGGCGACTCCTCCCTAGAGCAGCACCACCCTTCATCTTTCCTTGAGCATTTTTTATCATCTTCTCCTACGCTGAAGACATTTTACCTGCAAAAATAACAAGCACGTAAGCACGGGGAAAGAAAGACATCTCGAACAAAACAAGAGAAAGCGAGAAGTTACCCAAAAGTTCAAGAGCCTCCTCGCGAGTGCTACACTCGAGGACCTCTTTGGTGTTAATATATCGGGCTTCCACCTACAGCCCCCCATCTTCCTCATAAAGAACCAGCCTGGCGCGAGTCACGCACTAAGCAGGAAGGAAGCCATCCACGAAGGCCACCAGCTTGGGATAACTGGCCCGATCATCATCCACCAACTGATGAGGAGCAACTATGTACTCATCAATTGAATGGGTGAAGTGAGCCACGCTCCAGCAAAAGAGGAAAGTAAACAGCCTTCCCCCAACTATTTTACCCTCCTCGTCTATCAAGTCTTCCCCGTTTTCGTCCGTGAAGACCTCCCATACACAAGTCGAGTCAGTAGCCTTCTCCGACACCGGCTCGATACATAGAATCTCTCTTTAAAAGTCCGGATAGATTCATAGAAATGCTTGAACAGTTTCCTCCCCTGCTTCAAGGAAACCCAACCAAACTTTCTCCTTGGCACCTGCCATTGAAGATGAAAGATGGTGAAGAAAAGCGGGAGGGTGGCCCCGATATGCAAGTACTCGCATACCAGTTCATACGCCCGTATGAAGGCAACCGAGTTTGGGTGCAGTTGAGAGAGTGGCAGGTCGAGATGCACGAAGGTCGCCCGTTTAAAGTTCGTGAAGGGCAACCTTAGCCCTATCTTTTTAAAAATGTATTCGTACATGGGAAATATCTCCCCGTACGCCGAGCAAATATGTTCATCTTCTGAAGGAAAATGGACCATTCACTCTCCCTCCGGTCCCACCGTGGTAAATGCATCCCCGGTGTACGAAGCAAAAAGAGAGGCATGCTCCATTGGCTCAGCCACCATCCACTCATCCATCGATGACCTCTCAGCAGTCGTCCCCATAGCCTCAGGAGACGAGGAGTCATCGTCTGTCTCAGTGTCCTCTGAGGAGCTATCCTCGAACAAGTCCCTGGGATGTTCGTCCTCGTCAACTCTACACGACATCTCTTTTACCTGAAAAGCAGAGGAAAAAAGTGAATTCGATGACAAAATAAAATCCACCCTTCCACTGCTAGTCAAGTGAAAGGGCGTGCAAAGGGCCAAGGACATAATCCACGGGTATGTGCACAAGCACGCGCGGGTAGGGAATTATCATGACCCTAGTCTAGCCATCGTCACGCATTTAATGCAGCACACGACTCGAGGCATACGTGGCATCCTCACTCTTTAGATCCCATAAACCGTTGAGCTCCCCAGATCCCAACAACATTCCTGATGCCCGGGCAAGTATTCATCTGAACACAAGGAAGATCACGGTGACTATGCCCGAGAAGAAGACGTCCTTAAGTCATCAATACTCTGCTCGATAGCAACGATTTAGGGGCTACTATTCCGAACTGACCCAATGGCTAGGCACGACCGAGTCCATTTCTGCTCCCAGAACGGACCAATTACCTAATTCCAACCTCTTTGGTGAGAAGTTTACCTTTCTGCCTCTTCAACAGGGGAGATTGACCTATTTACCCTTGGTCACAACACTTCTCCATGTTAGTCTCTGCCCGTCATGCACGGTTCCACCATTCAGAAACAACCAATACGCTTGTGCTCGTAACTATGCCTCTGCCCACGCCAACGGCTAGTTATGGACACGTCTACCTGTCCCAACGACTAGCTCTGGCAGTTACCTATTCTTCGGGAAACGATTATCTCGCCCCGAAAATAGAGACCAATGGCCAAGCGCTGGGGGCATTATAAAAACTCTCTCATTTGAGAGGGTCAGACATCCAATATTCACCCTGAAACACACATATTTTGTACTTCCTCTCCCTCTTGCTCGTTTTCTTACTTTAGCATCGAAGTGCCTTGCAGGTACACTTCCTCCTCCTGTTTCACACCCAACATCACAAACGCTTTTTCTTGGTCCATCTCAGGTTCTGATCAGCCGTCGAGATCAGTACTCAAATTTACTCAAAGTATCCAAGTTAACGTGGGAAAAGAGTCATTGTTGAGAATTGTACGTTTGAAACACCATACTTTTTATTCAATAGAAATTTACTTTCTTTTACTCATTGCTCTTTAATGCATTTCTTTTACTCTGAAATTATTTCTCTTCATTGCTTTACTATACCAAACTTTTACAAAGTTAGTTTTTCTTTCAAACTAGCAAACAAACAATCATTTTTACAAACCAATGAATATTGTCAAAGTGTTCTACAAGTTTTACAGAAAAACATAAGACACCATAGCCATATCCTTAGGATTCATTGGTTGATCATGCATGTGAAGCAATACAATTAGTGTTTTGAAAGACCAGCGGTTGTTTACCAATTTTCATGGTAAATAAGCTAATTGTTGTTGTGTTAACTTACTAGAATTATTGTATGCAGGGGAATACTTTTAAGACATGTAAGATGTATGCAGAGTTGAATGACTCCCATTAGATTATGGAATGAAGGACTATCTTTTACAACAATTAAGTCAGACCTAGATCTCACTTTACATTATGGCTTGTCTGTCATAGAAGGATGACTACTAAAGATAGGCTAACTAGATTTGGATTACTTATGATAGTTACTGCTTTTGCAATGAAGTTGAAAGTGTGGATAATTTGTTTTTTCCAGTGTAATGCCCTGCGTAACATTTGGATGAAGGTCTTAAACTGGCTGTAGATTCAACACAACCCTGACAGTTGGGATACAAAGCTCAAGTGAGTGATTGAGAAAAGCAAATCTAAGAGTCCTAAGTACCAAATTTTGAAATGTGCCTTGGCTGAAACAATTTATAAACTTTGGAGAATTAGATGTGATCATTGCTTTAGAGTTATTAGTAGTTGGTACCATGTTGGTCCCAATATCATTGATATCATTATCAATAGGTGTTGGATGAAAATCAAGCTGAGGAAAACCATAGATAGTTTATTATTCTCTAAGGTTGTTTTTTGTTTTATTGCTTTTGTCTCCTTATTGGTTGGATCTCGGTTTGAGATCGCTTGTGTGTAATTGTTTTTTAGTTTAATAAAGTATTTTATTTATAAATAAAAAAATAAAAAAAAAAAAAGAAGATAATAGTGATTGTACTACATCGGCCTTATCAAACATTGAGAATATTCATCATCATGCAATTAAAACAAATATTACTATCTATTTACATCAATTTATCAAATTCAATAATGCCACTTTCTTTTTAATTTCATTCAAACATCTTGTTAACCACACACGTTTAGATCAAGAATTATCGTCTTCCAAATTCTATAAAAAGCCACAACACCTTATGACTCGCACACCAAAACAAACTACTTAACATATTTGTTAAATTCAGAAAAACTTGAAGTGCTGCAATCCATGGCGGATGAGGTGAAACTTTTGGGAGTTGTGGGAAGCCCATTTGTATGTAGAGTACAGATTGCTCTAAAATTCAAAGGAATTGAATACAATTTTGTTCAAGAAAATTTGGCCAACAAAAGTGATCAACTCCTTAAATATAACCCAGTTTATAAAAAGGTTCCAGTTTTTGTTCATAATGAGAAGCCCATATCAGAATCTCTTGTGATTCTTGAGTATATTGATGAAGTTTGGAAAAACAATCCTATTTTTCCTTCTGATCCATACCATAGAGCTTTGTCACGATTTTGGTCCAAGTTCATCGACGACAAGGTAAATTTTTTTAGAGCTTTTAAATTGTCGGTTGCATTGTTTGATTTGATATCACAACGAATTTTAATTTTTAATCATAAAGAAATGTAACTATATATGTGTTTTGTAATTTTTTCATGAAAAGATTTGCAAATTTTTTCAATTAAAAATTATAATTTAAAGTGTTTATAATTATTTTCTTATAAAAATGATAATGAATAGAGTGAATGAATTTTAATGTTAATGAAAGAAACTTTATTTATTTATTTATCTACTATATATTTTGTGTTAAATGATAAATAAATTTTTGATATTAATTACTATCGACTGACATTGAAGGTCAATTCATCACCATCATTCATTTATATTATTTTATAAATTATTAAAATTAAAGTCAAACTTTTTTTTACATATGACGTCTATAATTAAGTGATAGTGTAAAATTTTTTTACACTACCGGTATATTTCAATTAAATTCTAAATTATAAAAATATATTCATATTATAATTGTTTGAGTTGTATTGATATACTATACAAATTATCCAATACATTTAAATTAAATAATAAAATTTATTTATTTAATTTTTAAAATAAATTGAATGAATTAGCTTCATTTATATTTTTATATGTGCAAAATTTATCTAATCTTGTAACTCGTTTTTATATAACAAATGATATTATTAATCTATAAAAGAAAAATAAAGCTTAAAATGGTATAAAAAAACATAGTGAAAAAAATTCAAAAAGTCATAATTTTTTTATGGTTAAAAAATATATTTAAATATTATTTTTGAAGAATAATGTTAACAACACATTCTTCAACTCACTATCTTTTTCATTGATTAAAGTTTACATAATTTCCACTAACTTTAAATGAGATATATATAAATTGATGTAATCATAAAAAATTTAATCAGTATAATTAAGTGTTTTGAAAAATATGTTAAAGACAGTTTATATTATTAAGATAAGAATGTGATAGATCAACTAAAAGGAGTCTACATCTTAGACTGATTTTTTTTTAATAGAAAACACTAAGATTTTTTTAAAATTCTATTTAGCTAAAAATGTTAGATTACAAATGATAAAAAAAAAATTTTAAATCTATTCGAACAGCCTATTTAAATAAAAAATATTATTATTATTATTATTATTATTATTATTATTATTATTATTATTATTATTATTATTATTATTATTATTATTATTATTATTATTATACTTTAAATTAAAATATTAAAATAAAGTTTAGTTATTTATAAGGGTTTGTGAATACAAGTTGAAAAAAATTAAATATCATAAATAGTTTTTATAAATTCTCTAAAATAAATAATTTTACAAAATTCATGGTATTAGATAAGTTGAGAATTTCAATGCAAATATTCAACCGAATATTTAGTCTCATTGTTTTTCAGATTTATTAATCTATTTAAATATTTAAATATTAGTTAAATTATTTATTTATATATTCATATGACTTAGTTTAATATGTTTAAGTAAATATGACTTAAGCTTGGCGCAGCTATTCCGACCCTTATATAAAATCTTTATCAAATTGGAAAATATAATATCCAATTTTGGAATATTTGCAAAACATATGTTTTTGATTACTTTCTCAGGAAAAATTACAATTAAATATTTCAGTATGTGAATTGAACAGATTGTGACTCCTTCATTCAAATCTTTTTTTACGGTTGATGAGAAAGAGCGCGAGAAGAGTATTGCAGAATCAACAGAGGCTCTTCAAATTCTTGAGAATGAGCTAAAAGACAAGTTTTTTGGTGGAAAAGAGATTGACAATGTTGATATTGCTGCTGTGTTCGTAGCATTTTGGATTCCATTGCTTCAAGACATAATAGAGCTGAAATTATTCAGTGATGAGAAATTTCCAAAGCTTTATAAGTGGAGCCAAGAATTTCTCAACCATCCAACTGTGAAGGAAATTATGCCTCCTAGAGACCCTCTTTTTTCCTTTTTCAAAGGTATGCATGACAACCTTCATTCGTCTTCAAAATAGATGAATATTCTTATTGATATAGAGTATTGAGATTCACAATTTTCTATCCCAAAATAAATGTTCTGATTTAAAAAATTATTTGTTTTAGAATAAGTGTCACTCTTAATTTTTAATGTAACCATCATTTTTATCTTTCCAATGTATTTTTTAGAAATTAATTATTATACACCAATGTAAAAAGTTTTAAACTGTTAATTTATCATCATCATCTATTTGTATTATTTTACAAATTATTAAAATAAAAGTTAAATTTTTTTTATATTGTTAGGGCATTTTAATTAAATTTTACCAATAATTAATGAAATTTTTTTTAGTAAAACTACTACTCTCTTTTTAATATATCATATTTTTGTTATCTCTAAGAAAATATCAAATATAATATTTATTTTAAGACGAATGAAATATTTTACATTTCTTCGTGAAAAATAAATTCAAACATCTCATTTTAAGAATTTGCTGCTATATATCTATTTAAACAATAAAATCTAATTGTCAACGATGATGCAAAACTTAATGGAGAAAAGAAAGGAGATCAATTCTTTAAAGCAAAGATCTAAGAGTTAAGAAATCTCTATTCAATCACTAACTTTAAACACTTATTCTTTCTTTTAAAAAGTTATTTACTTGCATTTGAACTTAAAATATTTATTCTCTCATTTAAAAGTTTTTCAATTGTAATCTAAAACATGTTTCAAAAGGATAGAATTTAATAAAAATCTTTTAAATTGAAAAGACGGTACTAAATACTAATCATCAATCTCTGATTAGTGTCTGGTTTTCTTATTTTCTACACTTTATTCTTTTTGTTTTTACTTGTATGTAACATTTTCAAAGAGAAGTCTTAAATCTAAATTGTTTTCTAAAAAGGAAAATATATTTCAAAAACTAAAGTTTAATACAAAATCGATTAAACAAAACCATCGATAAATAAAATAATGAAACAAAGTTGTGGCTGAATGAAAGCGATGAAACAATATCACATGTCAATATAGCGATGAAACAAAATTGCAGACGGGAAATCAATTGCTAAGTTATTAAAAAACATTGTCTGAAAGAAAGTACAAATGCCTTAACGGCTAAAAGTATTTTCTCAACAAAGATTACAAGAGCATTCTGTCTCTTTTTCAGGCCTCTTATCCCACTCCTCTATCTCTTCATCGTCTTCTTCTTCAACCGCCATCGCCTCCTCGGCGTCACTAACAATCTCCCCGACAACGATTTTCTTCCCCTCGCATCTCCTCTCTCGAGGAATTTCAATCCTAGGGCAAATAATCTTGTTCTAATTAATGGTTTTCTAGAAAATGCAATGGCACCCTGAATGCCTACGGGATTCCCCTTCTTCTAAGGCATCTTGTACTTTCTAAATTTACAAATGTATGACAACTCCTAGTGATTAAATGCAATCAATAATAATCCATCATTTAAAGCTAAACATAGCCTTTTCCATGACAACTGTGTCTGACTCAAAGAAAACAAGATATTATGGACATTCGTCAATGTGATAAAGAGTATTCAGTAATACTTGAAAAGAGAGGGACAAACCCTAAACAGAGATACAAACATCTGAGAAAGCATCAGATACTAAAAGTAACACAATATGGAAAACATATCAGAGACATCTAGAAAAAAATTAGATGTGGAATGAGACCAAATACGAGAGTACAACAGAGGCTTCCAAGAAAGCATTCAACTTTACTGTGGAATAACAGGAACATCCAAAAAGGTAAAGCAACTTTACTGGGAAAAGGTCATAGCCATCAGAGGTTTTTCAAAAAGCATTTAACAAACCTTGGAAAGTAACAATATCAATCATCAACGATATTCAAGAGAACATTAAATGAAACTTTGGAGCATAAGCGGACATCGGGGATAGTCAAGAAAACATCATAGATATCCAGAATAGCATTAAATAAGCTCCACTGGGGAATTAACAATCATCATCCATGAATGAAACTGGATGAAAAAGAGTCACAACATTCAGAAGATCATTGAATGAGATGAAGAGAATTCTGGGAAATACATTAGGAACATTCAAGCAAACATTAGAGGTATTCAGAAGAATGTTGAATAAACTCTGGAACATATGGAAACATCAGAGGCATCCAGAAAAGCATTGAATGACATATAGAAAACATCAGAGATATCTAGAAAAGCATTGAATAAACTCAGGAAAAACCTCAGAGATATTCAGGAAAACATTGAATAAACTCTAGAACACATAGCAAACATCAGAGACATCCAGAGAAGCATTTAATGAACTCTGGAACACATAGCAAACATTTGAGATATTCAGGAAAGCATTGAATAAAATATGGAACACATTCAGAAAAAGCATTGAATGGAGAATGGAAATAGACTTAAAAGCATTAGATGTTAACCATAGTCATAAATGAATTGAAATAGTCCATAATAGCATTAGGTGAAGACAAAGATTCTGAAGCTACATCCGAAATGTTTAAAAACACTTTAAATATACGAGAAAAATTTTGAAGACATATCTAGAAGAACATCAAATAACAACATCATATCTGGAAGAATATCACATAAACAAGGTCGTATTTGGAAAAACGTTAGACAAACACAAAAGAGGTTATGGAAAAACATCAGAAGCAATGTCGTATTTATAAGAACGCCAGATAGACACAAAGGGATTCTGGAAAACATCAGAACATAAGGCACATTTGGAAAATCATTAGACGGTAAAATAAATGAAACTCTGAGAATGTATCATAATTATAAAGGTATATATATCTGGAAACTCACTGAGAGTAAAACAAATTTAGGATAGGCATTAGAATCAAAGGGAAACCTCTAGAAAACATCAGAGTTAAAGGGAATATCTGGAAAAACA